TAGGTGGAAGAAGCGCGGGAAGAAGAAGGTGAGTCAAGCCAGTTTGCAGGGGTGAAAACCATCCAGCTGGCTTTAGACAGAGAAAAGTGGCCAGTGCTCTATCTCTATGTTGAAGTGGCAAATGCCCTGTCAGGGTGGCTACAGCAATGGAAGCAAAGCAACTGGCAGCATGGAGGCAAACCAGTCTGGGCTGCCCCATTGTGGCAAGATATTGCTGCCCAGCTAGAGAAGCTGATTGTAAAAGTGTGTCAGGTGGACGCCCACATCCCTAACAGTCGGGCCACTGAAGAACATCAAAACAGCCACCAGGTGGATCAGGCTGCCAAGATTGAAGTGGCTCAGGTGGTTTTTTTTATAGCTCAGTGGGTCCATGACACCTCAGGCCATCAAGGAAGAGACACAACACACAGATGGACTCGTGACTGAAGGGTGGACTTGACCATGGACACCATCGCACAGGTTATCCAAGAATGTGAAACATGCACTGCAATCTAGGAAGCCAAGCCTGTAAAGCTCAATGGTCTGGAGGACGATGGCTGAAATATAAATACAGGAAGGCCTGGCAGATCAACTGTATCACACTGCCACAAACCCGCCAAGGCAAGCGCCATGTGCTTACAAGGGTGGAAGCAACCACCGGATGGCTGGAAATCTATCCTGTGTCCGGTGACACTGCCCGGAACACCATCCTGGGCCTTGAAAAGCAAGTCCTATGGTGACAGGACACACCCCAGAAAGAACTGAGTCAGACAATGGGACTCATTTACGAAACAACCTCATAGACACCCGAGCCAATGCACATGTTATTGAGTGGGTGTATGACATCCCTTATCATGCACCATCCTCCAGGGAAATTGAACGGTATGATGGACTGCTCAAGACTATTCTGAAAGCAATGGGGGGTGGGACCTTCAGGCACTGAGATACTCCTTTAGCAAGAGCCACCTGGTTAGTTAACACCAGAGGATCCACCAATCAAGCTGGCCTTGCCCAATCAAAACTTCCATGCCTTGTAGAAGGGGATAAAGTCCCCATAGTGCACATGAAGAATATGCTAGGGAAGACAGTCTGGGTTAGTCCTGCCTCAGGCAAAGATAAACCTGTCCACGGGATTGCTTTTGCTCAGGGACCTGGGTGCACCTGGTGGGTGATGCAGAAGGATGAAGAAGTCCGATGTGTACCTCATGAGGATTTGATTTTGGGGGAGAAGAGCCAATAAATTAAATTGCATGATGTTAATTGCTGAATAACCCTGCCACTGTATGTCATCAGTACAATAGTTGTTACATGCTATATCAATGGTATTACAGTAAGAATCACCCAAACTAATGAAGAATGGACTTTCATGAAACCAAGCAAAGTGCAGCGGTGATGGGACTGGACCTGTTTTCAGCAACTGGTGCCCAGCACCTTCATGAAGATCAACAACTTCAGTGTGCAGACCATGGCCATGGGCCACGCCAGACACACCAGCCATGACCTCTGGATGCAACATGTGACCATCCAACACCACACATCATATCTTCTGCTCTGATATACAGTTGCACCAGATGGAGCCCAACATCACGGATTAAATTGACTCAATGGACACTTTAGAGGGATGGTCCGTAGAGTAAGGGAATGATATCTGTGTGTAACATGTTAAAGACAGGGAAAGGGGTGGTGATTAATTGGAAAATGGGTGACCTGATCATGATGGTATAGAATAAGGGGTGGATAATGTCCTGGGTTCAGCTGGGATAGGGTTAATTGGTTCTGAGTGGGGGAGTTAATCACAGCTTAGGAGCACAGTGGGCACAGGGCAGTGAGAGTTGCTCTGTGTATTCCCTTGCTTTTCTATATTCTTCTCAGTATTGTTGTTGTTACGGTTTGCTTCCTTTGCTGTTCTGTTAAACTGTCCTTACCCCAACTCATGAGTTTTGCCTTTTTTCCAATTCTCCTCCCCACCCCACTGGGGGGAGGGGCAATAGAGCGGCCTCGTGGTTCTTTATTGCCAGCTGGGGCCAAACCACAACAATGGTACATGTGTGAAAGCGCAAATCTGATCATATAATTTTGCACACACCCATAAGATACAGAGAGGTCAGTCTGTGACATATGCATCATGAAGATATTTGACTATGGTTATATTAATATGCATCCCTCTATGGATAAGTGTTGATCCTATAAAGCTAATAGTTGTATTCTCCCACATAACATAGAATCATTAAGGTTGGAAAAGACCTCTAAGAACATCGAGTCCAATCGTCAACCTAACACCACCATGCCTGCTAAACCATGTCCTGAAGTGCCACATGTACATGTTTTTTGAACCCCTCCAGGGATGGCAACTCCACCACTTCCCTGGGCAGCCTGTTCCAACACCTGACCACTCTCTCAGTGAAGACATTTGTCCTAATATCCAACCTAAACCTCCCCTGACGCAACCTGAGGCCATAAACAACCAAACTAACAAAACAAGGTGAGGGGGTAACTAGGACGACACTGATAACATTTAACAAATTACAAGTCTATCACTACACAACAACACACACGAGAATGGTGGCCCAAGGTGTGCACACATTTACTCACAACAGGGAAACTCTCACTCAAGGGTACCCAGAAGACAGGATCACTCACCCCAGGAAGGTGTGAGGGCTCACTCAAGGATATCCAGAAGAAATAATCACTCATCAAAAGGGTAAGGACACTCAATCCCAGGACATTTCCATGGGAGACGTCTCAACCCATGGGAAGAGTCCCCGATCACAGGCCCGCTGCTCCCGAGAACCAGGTCTCTCTGGGCACTTCTGGTGGGGGGTCCCTTTTATAGCCTGGTCACATCTGGCCTGTGGTCATTCACGGTCAGAAGTCCAGAAATTTCCCTCAGCAGAGGCAGGACACTTCCTGTCCACCAAGGAGTCCCGCCATCTCGCTAACATAGGAATGCCAAGTGCTTCACGAGAAGTTGCATTCATCTATGCATTTACAGGTGAGCTTGTTTACAAGTACAAATATGACTGGCAGATACGCACACCCAGCTATATACATTTCATAATGCACAGAATTGCAGAAGGCGAATTAAGAGCAGAGGAAGATTGTAAATTTTCTTAAACCAACTGATACACTAGAAAAGGATGCAAGACTTAGGATACATTGTAAACCAATCTAAATCTAGACTACTATCAGTCCACCTCTCCTCTTCCACTGCTGTGTTTGTAGTTCTCTTTCTCCCTTGCACCACCAGCAACATTCAGGAGCCTGCCCATACTCCAATAATTAGGAAGCAGATCTAGCTCAGCACCAATTCAGCATAGATTCTTTGGGCAGAGGAGGAATTCACATCAGCCTGGGTTAGACCAGCTTAAATTGCCATGGAGCTACTTGATGACAGTATAGTTTAGGTAAGCAAGAAGGATCTTATCTGTATAGTGCACAGGATTTAACTTCAGCATATTGAAAGAAACCACCTCATCCTCCTCTCTCCTCATGATATGTTTTTTCTCCTTTCCTTAGGTTGATGTTTCTGACCACATAGCTACAGAATCAGACATGTGAACTGACTTATCTAGACAAAAATTGGCAAAGACTTATGTTTAAAATATTAGCCTGAACAACAACCGAGCAAAAACCTAGTTAGATCACTTTGAATAGACAAGAACAGTTTGTAAGGAAAAAAAACAAAAACAAACAGAAGGACAAGATTGCCACCTTCTCCTGAAAAGGGACAGGCATTTACGAGCAAATACTCACTATGGAATACAGGACAGCAGCTAAATAGACCAGAGGGGAAAAGAGGTAAGAAACAATAAAGGCAAAATCTATAGTGAGCACAGAGACATCTTAGGAATAGCTGTCCTATTTCAGCCAGGAATATGCATTTAGACTGTTGTATTTTAGAAGTCTATCAAACACACATTTTCCCACAAGTGGTTTCCAAAACACATCACACTACCATTAACTTTACAGATGAAATTAAAATGCAATATATACAGACTAGGACATAGGAAAACACACAGCCTATGTATTTACAAAGCACATCTCCATAAAATCAGTAATACCCTCCAGCAGACTAAAAGTGCTCAGGTATCACCTCATTTATGCTACGGATAGTATTTTCTCCCTTAGAACATACCAGCAAATAAAATAAAAACAAAAAGCAAAACACTACAAATAAACCCCAAACATTCCACCCATCACTCTTAAAATAATAGATTTCATTTTTTCAGTGTGCTATCTGGATAACACATACACACACCAAAAAAACAGCACCAGCTAGGAGTATTTAACTGGTTATCATGCATTTCTATATCAGGCACTACACAGAAGTATTTTAAAGTTATTATAACACACGCAGTAGAGGAAAGCACTACCTTGAAATGAACTCTTGCCAAATTCTACACATTTTAAAACACAGTATGTTTTAGCCACTGCTATAGATTGTGTTGCAGAAACTATGTAGGTAGAATGCAACAGTTACATTAGAAATAATTTTACATAAATAGCTAGCAAACAACAAGAGAGCCTTGATTTCTATGAAAATAGTGTTACTCACAGAATAAGCAAACCAATCAGTCTTCCCATTTATCCTTTGAAGAAGACTCTCAAGTATCTTCAAAAGATAATACTGGAAACTAGAATCCCTAAACTCAAGCAAAATACCAGGAGCGCTATCGAACTACTGCTTAGCACTTCATAACCATCCTTTTTCCATTAAAAATAAATTATTTCTTTATTCAAGATCTAGCCACTATAAGAACTTACAAGCTAACTATCTCACTTCATCCATTGTTATAGCCATTTGTTTCTCAGGCACGTACTGCCTTTTTGATAATTTATGCGATTGAAGCAATGAAGTTAAGCTTGATTAGTCTTCATTTCCATTTAACATTAGAATTGCACCTGAGGAAAAACTTGTGTGCTTGAAGATCTGTTAATTTTTTTCCTAAGTGTTGCAGGTGATTTAAAGAAAGGTATCACCTCTCCATTAAAAACATTCCAGCACTTACATCTGTAGGCAAATGCAGCTACCATCGCGATACTAAAGCATGCAGCAGAAACAGATAAAAAGAACTTACTAGTCAGCCATCTAAACTCGGAAAAAATAAAGGCAGGTGTTTTCGTCACACAAAATGAACAGTAGCAAACTGAGAGAAAAGAACAGGGGCAGTATACAAGCAATAGTTTTCCTGATTCTAGGACAACAGTAGTGTTGTGATGAACATAAAATGTTAAAGAAAGCCATGATAAACCTCTGAGAATAAAAAGGGCATGACAAGAGGTTTAAACAAAAAACTCTCCAGAAATTTGCTTGAAAACCTTTTAATTTTTGCTTTAACAGTGCAACTGCTTGTAGAAGCATCTGACTTTCAAGGACTTTGAAATGTTAGCGCAAGTACTGCCATGCAACTATTCAATAAATAAATAAAGTCATTCTTAAATCTCCATAGCATGAATTTATTTCAGTAGAGTAGGTAAGGCTATCCTGATAGGACTACCTTCGTGTCTGACCACCAAACATTTGTTTTGTTAGTTTGTTGAAACTTCAGATCAAAAATTAAGTCTATGTTTCTTTAAAGTATCTTGCAAGATTAAATATGTATTACTTCAACAAAGGCACTACAGACAATGCAGAAAAGTACAGAAGGTATGAATGTGCTAATCTCAGAGAAAGGCTCTGATACGGCAAGGCATCAAGGCCATCGGGAAGCAACTTTTTTCCCAAAGATTTATTCAACTTTACAAAAGCATTACGGTTTTACTTTTAACTTTTTGCAGGCTCGAATGTGGGAAGAGAATCACCGTCTAAATGCCATAGTGCAGGAGAATGTTGTCTTGGTATTTTGGTTGCTTTAATACCCAGTTTGGCATAGACTATGTTAGCCCAAAACGATACATGGCAATAAATTATGCTGAGTACTCAAAACCGTCTGCTGTCATTCCCACACCAGCTTAAGTCAAGCGAGACTTAGCTTGCTCTTCAGCGCTTACTGGATGAGAACAAACCAATACAAGAGCAATTTCTGTCTTTTTACCTCTCCTCTCTCTGAAAGGGCGTGTCAGGAAGGTGGCACGTGAACTGGAATGCCCCCGAGCCCCTTTTGGAAGGGAAGGCGCGCTGGCGGGACCCACTTTCAGGCAGTAGGCCACCCCGCTCACCACCGGGTCCCGCCCCGCCCCACCGGCAGCTCGGCGCTCGCCCCGCCGCCAGGGCGCTGTCAGG